CCTCCAGGAATCTCCAGGTGTTCAGTTTCCTAAGATCTCTCAGAACTGTGACCTTTTGGGTTTTTATGGAGGCTTCATTACATAGCCATGATTGATTAAACCACTGGCCATTGGCGATCAATTTAACCTTCAGCCTCTCTTCTCTCCCAAGAGGCTGGGGGTGGGGCTTAAACTCCCAACCCTCTAATCCTGCCTTCCTCTTTCTAGTGTCCAACTCCCAACCCAGGGCTACCCAGGGGCCCCCAGCCACCAGTTCATTGGCATACAAGAAGACATCACTCCAGAGACTCTAAGGATTTCAGAAGTTGTATGCCAGGAAACAGGGGTCAAAGAACAAAAATGTATTTTACAATAGCACATTCTGTCTGCTCTGTATTTTTATGTGATTGTTGGCAGGCAGTTCACATATACTAGATGGACCATGTGGCTTTTAAGTTAAAATATTAGTATCTTTTAAGCTATTAGCAAATTGTTTAAGGTTGTGTTCCTTTGTTCTTTTTTCTCACCATTAGAAGCCCTGCAGGTTGTTTATAGCCCTAGAATTATATAACAAGGAATGTACACAGAGACCCATGGCCAAGGTCAAATGCAACAGATACTCATGTCATAGGACAAGTCTTGGGGTGTTGTGACAATAGCCCTGGGTGCACTAGTTTGAAATCAAGATTATTTAATATCATCCAATTTTTATGCCTTCAGGAGAGAAAGGCCAATTGGCAAAATACATTTATTGGGAAAATACATGTTAGAATGGTGTCTTTGTTGAGCGTTACTAGAAAGGCTTGTTAATCGAACTGGCCTTAGGAAGAAAATGCTCTAGGATTTGGGGAATGTGGCTTCCTGGGCAGGGAGTCCTCCAGGCACATTGTCCTCTTTGTCTACCATGACCCTCATTAGGGAATACTCAGCAGGGGTTTGGACCTCCTGCTCAAATCAGGAAAGCGGGAGTGGGGGTGGGGCGGATGGAGAGGAAGGAAGCCTGGATCGGGACTCAGGAACCTTCCTTAAAGCCAGTGTTTCAGTGACAAAGTCAGACTCCTCTGCTGTCCTCCTCGACCTCCCTAGTTGAGAGCCACTGGGGGTCCCACTAAGTCCCTGCCCCACTGCTTCATGGCCCTCAGCACACAGAAGGGGCCTGGGCCCTCATGTGCCATGCTGCGGGCAGGGCCAGCCCAGCTCCAGCCCACAGGGTATAGCTGGCTCTGGGAATGCCACCCGCGCAAGGAGGGGCAGCGGCAGGGTGGTGAGCACCCCTTCCAAAAAACCTGGCCGACTGTCCTGGGTGACCTGTGGAATAGTGGTGCCATCTGATGGCCGAGACAGGGAACAAACTGGGGACACACAGAGGGACAGCATGGCTGAACAGTTAAGCCCGGCAGTCCCCAGCTCGGGTCCAGCTCTGTGGCTTTGTCAGAGACCTGTGAACCACAGCAACTCCATCTTAAACAGGAGCTGGGTAAAATGAGACCTGCTGGGCTGGATTCCCAGACGGTTAAGGCATTCTAAGTCACAGGATGAGATAGGAAGTCAGCACAAGATACAGGTCATAAAGTCCTTGCTGATAAAACAGGTTGCAGTAAGGAAGCCAGCCAAAACCAAGATGGCGACGAGACTGACCTCTGGTCGTCCTCACGGCTCCACTCCCACCAGCGCCATGACAGTTTATAGATGCCATGGCAATGTCGGGAAGTTACCGTATATGGTCTAAATGGGGAAGCATGAATAATCCACCCCTCGTTTAGTATATCATCAAGAAATAACCATAAAATTGGGTGACCAGAGGCCCTCGGGGCTGCTCTGTGGAGTAGCTATTCTTTTATTCCTCTACTTTCTTAATAAACTAGCTTTCACTTTGCACTGCGGGCTCCCCAGAATTCTTTCTTGCGTGAGATCCAAAAACCTGCTCTTGGGGTCTGGATTGGGATCCCTGTCCTGTAACAGATTGGCAGGTTTAACCTCAGCCCCGCAGCTCTGATGGGGCTGCTCTGAAAGCATTGGTTGCTGGGCTGGAGTCCACGGGGTGCAGTGTGGAGAAAGAGGGACATGGAATCCTCCAGAAAATATCTGAGGGGGCCCACTATCTGCTCACTTAGGTAGAGGTGGAGGGGCAAGGAGTGTTGCGGGGGCCGGTGATCAGAGAACAGAATAGAACTCTTGACCCCAGTGAATCTGCACTTCACTTGAGATTCGCTGTGAATCTGCCCTCTTGAACCTGGGCAAGCAGTTCAAGATTAATTCATGGAAAATGGCACCAAGGTGATGTCATAAATGTAGTGTGTGCTGCTGCAGCCTGATGCACCATGGGTGTTCCTGGAGAGGGGACAAAAGAGGATAAGCCAGCCAGGAGTGCACGGAGGAGACGTGAGCCTGGGCAGGGCCGCATGGAGGAGAGGAGTTGGGGCCTGCACCACTGGAGTCTGGCTGAACCCTCTGAAAAAGCCAGTGGTATTTGATAAACTTCTCTCTGGGTCTCCTGGTCTTGCTTTTTTTCCATGTATTTTCTTCCTAGCCTTAATGATTGTCACACCACCTAAGACAGGGGTGTTCAATCTTTCAACTTCCTTGGGCCACATTGGAAGAATTGTCTTGGGCTGTACGTAAAATACACTAACACTAACGACAGCTGATGAACTGAAAACAAACAAACAAAACCACAAAAATCTCATAACGTTTTAAGAAAATTTATGAATTTTTGTTGGGCCACATTCAAAGCCGCCCTGGGCTGCATGCAGCCCACGGGCCGCAGGTTGGACAAGCTTACCTTAGGAAGTGATGACTTTGAAGAACATACTCAGGGGAAGCAGTTGCTCCCTGGGCCGGTCATGGCTCTGATTCCAGAGCAGCCTTGGAGAGCAGATGAGGTCTGCAGAGATCGGGCTGAAGCGGGAAGTGGGGGCAGAAGGTGTTCTAAGTCAGAGGACTTGAGGGGTGGCTCTGAGCCCAGAGGGCTCTGGAGCCCATGTGTCAGGGAAGACAGGGCCTGTGTGGCTACAAGTGGGTGGCGTGGGAATAGGTAACTGACATCTTGAAGGCAGGGGAGGATGTCCTTCCTGTTCTGAGGCCCCTTCTCCTTTTTCCCTCCTGTCCTCCTTGCTCTCTTCCTTTTTTTTTCAAATCTTCTTTCTCTCTTTTTCTGTTGTTTGCTATAAAATCCCTGTCTTGGCTAAGTCCTTGACTGGGGAAAAAGTAAAGTTCAAATTCCTTAAAACTAGCCAGACTTTCAAATTTTTTTGGCAACAGTTACTCCCTGCAAGAAAAATATACCAGTGTCTATCACCCATAGGACCTTTTGGGCCATTTTGTGCAGGGTTTCCTCATAGCAGGGTATAGCCAGGGGGGCCGTGAATCTGCCTTCTTAGACCAAGTGAGCAGTTTCTTCTCAGAATGACTCTTGGCTGGGTGTGGTGGCTCATGCCAGTAATCCCAGCACTTTGGGAGGCCGAGGCAGGTGGATCATCTGAGGTCAGGAGTTCGAGACCAGCCTGGCCAACATGGCAAACCTCGTTTGTATTAAAAATACAAAAATTGTCAGGGCATGGTGGCGGGTGCCTATAATCCCAGCTACTTTGGAGGCTGAGGCAGGAGAATCACTTGAACCTGGGGGGCGGAGGTTACAGTGAGCTGAGATGGCACCATTTTACTCCAGCCTGGGTGAAAGAGCGAAAGTCTGTCTCAAAAAAAAAAAAAAAAGACTTTTATTGTCTTTAGAGCCACTGGATGTGGGGTCCAGGGCAGCAGGAGAGGAAGGGAGTCACCCCAAGACAGCACTTGTTCTATGATGTGGAACTTAGGGCTCTGAGGCCTTGGGGGATCAAGTCATTGAATTTGCTCAGGAAATTTCACTGCTTGAAGGAAAGTTTAGGTGGATCTTATTACAGAAGAAATAGTATTATCCTGTCATTCAGCTGTTGTATCATTGTGGATTCTGAATTTACCTAAGGCCAGCCACACCTGTATGATCTGTATTCTAGAATGAGTATTGAGGCACTTGCAGATTGGCTTCAGGTATGACTCATTTCTGTCCCCTGGACAATGCTGAATAACTGTTTACGGGAAAGTATTTTTCTTCTACTGGGGCCGAATGACAGTCAAAGACCAGAGTGACCCATCAGGAATGGTTGAATCCCATATTGCAGAGCAGGGCAGACGTTTCTTCCTCCTCAAAGGCCAACTTGATGCAATGTAGGGAAGAGAGAGCGAGGGTGTGGGCTTGAACCTGGCCTCCCCCTGCTGCCTGGTGAGTGACGTCAGGCATGGGGCATCACTATCTGACCCTCACTTTTCTCATCTATAAAATGGGCTGAAAACCCCATCGGAATGTTGAAAAGGTTCAGTTTGATAGGTAACATATGTAAAAGCTGTAAGGACAGGCTATTAAAATTCAAATTTTGACCCAGATGTGAAATATTAGATGCTCAATTGAGTGTGAGAACATGTCACTCAGGAGAAATATTTAAAATGCCAACTTGAAAACACAGACCCTGGAACCCCTTCCCCAGGATGAGAAAATAAAGGGATCAGGGGTATGTTGGGGGGAGAGGCAAGGATGAGGGGATTTCTGCAGTTGCCATCTGTGGGGTCCCCACTCTGCCTTCCAAAAGTCAAGGGTTGTTGGTGCTGTCTCTTTCACTCAGGATGGGCACAGTAGCTCATACCTCTAATCCCAGCACTTTGGGAGGCGTAGAAGTATTCCTGGAGGACAGGAGGTTCAGACCAGCCTGGGCAACACAGTGAGACTCAATCTCTACCAAAACAAAACAAAACAAAAAATGAGAGTGACAGAGGAGAAGGAGAGGGAGAGAGAACTGCCTCAGCAAGACGGCCTGCACAGGTAGGGATGTGTTTGTTGTAGCTGGGCGCTCCAGGCTTGGGGCTTGGCTTGCTGCTAGGACATTAAGTGATCTGTGTGGGAGACAGGAGCAGAAGTAGCGTGAAGAAAGAATTCTCTATCCAAAGGTGGAGCAAAGGTTCTGTAACTTTCCCCTATGATTGACATGTAGGTCACCTGGATCTGTTTTGAGTCCTGTCCAAGAGGACCTCCTAGGTGTAGCGTGGTCTGCTGAAGGAGAGCCTCATTCACATCTGAATAGTAGGATGCTCAGATCTGGGGAACCCCAGCTTGGGAATCCCCAAAGGACCCATGGAGATGCCCATCAGAGTCCACTTTCACCAGCTGCCTGCAGGAAAGCAGGGATGCATCCACCCAGGTGAGAACTGTCCTATTCTTCACCTCTCCCCTTTAATCCCCACCCTGTCCACCTCCTTCAAACCTTGGCAGGCTCCCAAATAGCAGCTAGTGAATGGGGGAGGAGACTGGTGGAGAAAGAGACTGGAAGTGGCTATTGCCTCCCCAAAGGCTGGCTGCCCACCTGTAGGCTTTATCAAGGAGGATAATGGAGAGTGAAGTGTGGGTTAGTGTTTTGGGTAGGATACTTTTCAAACTCAAGAAACATGCTCTGTGACTCAGTGAATACAAGACTATCTCTAAGCTAAAAGTGAACAAAGACAAGTCATTGACTTGATGAGTTTTCATCTGGGGCAGAGGAAAAGCCTCCCCTGCTCAATAAGCTTTAACGAGTTAGTGGGAGAAAAAAATAGAGGTGTGCTTTGATCCTATTCCACCAGTGGAGCTTGTCCAACATGCCAGTCCTACAGGAGTAAGGCTGGCTTTTGGCATAAGGGATTGGCAGTGATGTGGAGCGGGAGGAGACTTAGTATCTGCTTTATTTGCAACCATAGGTTAAAGATAGAAAAATTATTCTCAAAGCATTAATAAATCTATGAATCTATTAGCTGTTCCTCTTAAGAGAGGGGGCAGAGCAGTAGAGTTGGGGAAGGGGGATGTTGTCAGATCCCCTGGGTCATTGCAGGTGGATGGAGTACTGGAGAGCATGTGAAGTAGTTGGCTTGTATCTTCCCTTTCTGTAGCTTTTCCTCATCCAGTTTTTATTTAACAAAACCAATTGAACACCTATATTACCTTTAATGTGTTATACTATTTCCATCCACAGGGCTCTCAGCATCTCAGTGCTGGACAGAACTCCTGTTCTTAGAAAACAGCCTTCATTAAAATGCACTCATACTAAAGGGTGAAAGAATTCAGTGTTGATATTCTCAAGCGTGTGTGTAGTATATTTTTATATATTATATAGTGAATGTATATCATATATATGCACAGAAATACACATACAGTTGCAAAAACTGTAGGAGTTGAATGTCTAAAACAATTAAACATCACAGAAAAGCATCAAAAGCAGAGGAAGGGCAGGCGTGGTGGCTCACGCCTGTAATCCCAGCACTTTGGGAGGCTGAGGTAGGCGGATCACTTGAAGTCAGGAGTTCAAAACCAGCCTGGCCAACATGGTGAAACCCCGTCTCTACTAAAAATACAAAAATCAGCTGGACATGGTGGTACATCCCTATAATCCTACTTTCTTGAGGCTGAGGCATGAGAATTGCTTGAACCTGGGAGGCAGAGGTTGCAGTGAGCTGAGATTGTGCCACTGCACTCCAGCCTGGGTGATAGAACAAGAGTCTGTCTCAAAAAAAAAAAAAAAAAAAAAAATGCAGGGAAATCTATGATAACCCAGAGTTTCCCACTTTCCTTAGGGGGCCTCCCCTGCTCCACTGTGGTCCTGGTTGGGCTGTCAGTCATTGCACTTTGCCCATGTAGCCAAAGGAGCAGGCACATGATTCAGATGGACCAAATGATTTTTTCTGCCAGGAATGGGAATCTGTAGTGACGATATCAAGAATAAAATCAGACGAAGATGAGTCATTTAGACATCAGCAACACAGTGGAGCTGTTCACAGCTCCATCTCCTGAAATTCTCCAAACCTGCCCTTGCGTCTGTCCTTCCAAAAACCCTGTTGATCAGCATTTTTTTTTCGATTCAGTTCAGCCAACTCTTCTTGTTTAAAGTAGACTGTTAGGGCTTACAACCAGCAGCTCTAAAATGGACACATCACTGGTATGTTTTAGCCAGTTTCCTTCTAGTCTTTTTTTCTATTGTTTGCATTCTTTGGTGGGCTATGAGAGAGAGCTTAAACCAAAGGCTTCGGAGGCATGCAGCCTCTGTGAGCAGAGGCAGACCTGGCAACTGTCATTCTGGAGCAGGAATGGCCTGAGGGTCACCCTATCCTCTGTCCTCACTTGACAGCAGAGGAGACTGAAGGCCACTGGAAGGGCTGTGACTCACCCTGCACACCTTGCTTGCTGTGCGGTGAGATTTTTGTTGCTAATGCCGAGTGCTCTCCAGTGTACACAAGCTGGAGGCATTTAGCTGTGCAAGCGAGGCGCTTCATGTACTTACTGTATGCTTAACGTTTTAATAGACACTGGGCATTATTGAAGGACACCATAAGATACTGTATTTACTTCCTGACTCATTTCATCAAAGGGAAATATAGAAGAGATAAGGGTGCCTAATATGTCAAAGAAGAAAAAAATTTTTTTAGAAAAATAATCTTTCCAAGCCTGATGCAGTAGCTCATGCCTGTAATCCCAGTAGTTTGGGAGGCTGAGGCAGGAAGATTGTGTGAGTTCAGGAGTTCGAGACTAGTCTGGGCAACATGGTGGGACCCCCCATCTCTACAAACAAAAACAAAAACAAAAACAAAAAACCAACCAACCAACCAAACAAACAAAAAACCAGCTGGGCTTCCCAGCTACTAGGGCGGATTGCTTGAGCCTGGGAGGCAGAGGTTGCAATGAGCTGAGAACATGCGACTATACTCCAGCCTGAGTGACAGAGCCAGACCCTATCTCAATAATAATAGTAATCATCATCATCATCATCATCATCATCATCATCATCTTCTCAGTGTTACTGATGTGAAAGTGAGGAGATGGCGATGCGGTGAGTGAGTACATGAGGGTGGAAGTGGGAAAGGGAGAGGGGATCACTTTAGTACAAAGGACTCAGAAAACCCCTCCACAAATTCCCCTTCCAATCTCGGTGTCTCAATAAGCAATGGAAAGTGATTAGGTTTAATGAGGCTGTTATTGTCTCCGCATCCTCCCTTTTCCAGCTACCCTCTCTGGCTGCCCTGATACCACCCTTGTTCTTGCTGTGCATTCAGAATATGCTTTCAGAGAGATTTTAATGGCCAGTTTACAAGGACCATCTCTTTTGAGACAGCATGGCTGGGATTAAGTTTAAACCATCTGCTTTTAAATAGAAGGAGTGAGGACAGACTAAGAACATTTCAAATACATAATTTATGACTCAAGGAGCCTTGAACTGCCCCATGTAAGGAGGCCATGGTCCCCTTTCCATCATGAGGCACAGGCCTGGGCCCCAGCCTGGAAGAAACAGTCCCTGTTTGAGAAGAGGCCTGTCTTGGTCTTCAGGTTTCAGACATCCGTGTCCCTGGAGTGCCATTTCCTGTCTGTAAATGTAAGTTTTAAGCTCTTGGTGTGTTTTTTTGCACTCCAAAGTAAACAGAGCACCTGGATTTAATCAGTCAGACGGTAACAGAGTCACGCTGTCAGCCCCTTCATAAGTCCCCACCCCCAGGTAACGGCCGGGAGGTGGGGCGAGCAGTGAGGCAGCCTGACAGTCCTGGTGGATTTGCTTCCCCGTGGACTTATTATTAATGAGTGTCTTGCAGCCTCGTGGGCTCGAGGGTCTCTTCACAGTATTCATGGACCGTTCTTTAGAACCTTGTCTGACTTGAGAGAGAGGGGCTGCTGGGCAGGCCTGGAGCACTTCACATGCCAGACAAGAGCTGCAAGTTCCATTGGTATGTTTCATGAACCACATTTGAGCCTCAAATCTGAAAACATTTTGGCACTTTCTTTGCATTTAAAAAATGTTTCAGGGCCAGGAGCGATGGCTCACACCTGTAATCCCAGCACTTTGGGATGCCGAGGCAGTGGATCACCTGAGGTCAGGAGTTCGAGACCAGCCTGGCCAGCATGGTGAAATCCCGTCTCTACTGAAAATACAAAATTAGGCAGTCTTGGCGGTGCATGGCTTTAATCCTAGATACTTGGGAGGCTGAGGCAGGAGAATCGCTTGAACCCAGGAGACGGAGGTTGCAGTGAGTCAAGATCGTGCCATTGCACTCCAGCCTGGGCAACAAGAGTGAAATTCCGTCTCAAAAAAAAAAAAAAAAAGTTTCATGAAAAATTTATTTTCTTCCAAATGAAAGTTTTTTGCTTTTGGACGCCTACTCCTTTGTTAAGGTCCTGAAAGTGAGGTCATGGGTTCTGATTTAATGAAGGACTGGCCACACCAGGCAGCAATTGCTGGGCTCTGCGTGAGTTCGTGAATGCTGAAGATGGCCCTGTTGGTCGCAGCTTCCAGAAAGAAGGGATCCTTTCTGGATGCAATCGGCAGTGAACTTCACACCTATCCTTGGTATTGGTAAGATTCTGAAACGAGTTGCTTTTCTAAGCATCTGGAGAGGGGCCTGGGGATGACTATTTAAGCAGTTGGTATAGATTGGGCTTCTGTCTGTTCTGAAACTGGCATCACGGAATACTTTGCGGGGCATGGGGACATTGGACCTCTGAGATTCAGCAGACCCTCTTGCCAGTGCTGCCTCTTCATTTCTTTGCAGGCAGGCTGGTGAAACTGACTGAGAGTCTAGAAGGAAGCTAACGTGTCTCAGTGGGTCACTGTGACCTTGTAGACAGCACCTGAGCCTGAGCAGAAGCCACGCATCTATGTCCTCAGCAACACCCTCTTCCCCCGGTTCATTAATTATTTTGGGGGCAGGCATTGCTTTTCTTTTAGTTTCAATTTGATAAAACAAATTCATAATTTTTAAAATAGTTTTTCAAGCTTGGAACAAGAGCTATGGAGAAGGCATGATTTATCTCCTTTATGTTTTTCTTCTCCTTCTTTCCCTCTCTGGGTTATTTTCCTGACAAATATAAACTAAATATTTTTTTAAAGTCCAACAACTCCTTACTTTGATTTTTTAAGATCTACAAATTTGGAAATATCATTTCAAAAAGTTGGATTTTGGATGCTTGAAACATGCCCAGTTCATAATAGATCAAGGTAACAATAGTGATTTTGGGATTATTTTTGTGCATTGGGATCATCTGCCAAAAGCAAGAAACAAACCCTCAACTAAGCAAAAAATGCCTGAACACAGTTTGTAACAAAAAGCTACTAGTTCCAGTTCATCCTGGGGTATCTGTGCTCGACAGGAACAGAACAGTCGTGTTTTCTGTGATAGTTGCTCAGACCTGAAGGATGCTGTGACCTCAAAGAGTAACTGGAGTTTTTCCTTTCTTCAAAATACTTATCAAGCCCTGAGTTTCTGACAGTTTTTGGAATATATGCAAACAAAAGACAAACATCCTATTTATTAAAACACACCAGATAGCAGGAAGAAAACAATACAAATTTCTTTAGGGAAAAAAGAAATCCAATTTATAGGCTGGACGTGGTGCCCTTGACTGTAATCCCAGTACTTCGAGAGGCAGAGATGGAAGGATTGCTGGAGCCCAGGGGTTCAAGACCAGCCTGGGCAACATAGCAAGACTGTTTCTACAAAAAAAAAAAAAAAAAAAAAAAAAAAAGGCCAGGTCCAGTGGCATGTGCCTGTAGTCCCAGCTACTTGGAAGGCTGAGGCAGGAGGATAGGAGGCTAGAAAGTTGAGGCTGTGGTGAGCTATGATTGTGCCACTTTGCTTTAGCCTGGGTGACACAGTGACCTTGTCTCAAAAAAAGAAAAGAAAAGAAAAATCCAGTTTATATGGTTGAAGTAAGCAAGGAAACTCTTCCTCTTCACTTCCTTTATTAGGAAGGGCTTAAGGAGGAAAAAGGGAAATTTAAAAATTCAAAAATAAAAGGATATGTACATAAAATGTTAGAGTATGCAAGGGTGATGCTGCTGAATTTGTAGTCTATTAGAGATCAGGGTTATAGTCCCAGACATCCACGGTTGGAATTCCCAGTGCCACAGGAGCTAGGACTTGTGTTGTGGTTGGAGCCCTGTGGAACTGTGCTGACTTTGTTTTCTCTGATATTTCTTGATAGGTGGGCCCCCTTCTATTACCACAAATTGCTAATGATGCCAAGCTAGAAGGCAGGAAGAAGGCTCAAAATGATCTCAGAAGTTTAGAGCA